TTCTTGATGAGCAGATTGATGACCTTCCGTGACTGTCGAATCTGCTCCTCGTTGCACGGCTCGGCGAGCAGGGATTGCTCAAGCCCAAGCTCCATGCACATCGCGCTAAATCGAATTTGCCAGGTAGAGTAGTTGTTGAGATCCAGCGACTCATCAAGCTTGTCCTTAACCATTGTTGATGAGGGATAGAAATAACAATTGGGCGATAACTGTCGGCGCTAATCGGGGCTCATAACCTATTGAAGAATTGGCGACGGTGACAGCTAACGCTAATTGTTATTCCGGAAGGATTGCCGGTGGCGAAGATATTTAGCACGATAAACTGTTACAAGTAATGTAAAGAGTATTGTTAGCGTTCGGCAGGACTTGAGGAGATTCCTGGTAGGAATACCGATCGTTGTGAGATAAACTAATAGGCGCAGTCACCGCCCTAAATACCGGCGCTAGCGGAAAACTCGTACATTCCGCGATCTAACTGCACGTACATTCCGCGATCTCACTGCGCCGTCCAGACGGTGCCCTAATGTCTATCACTTAGCTACCGGATATGCATCGGTAGCCCCATAAGGTTCTGGGGTAAGATTTCCCCATTAGTCAGGTGCAGACCCGGGGTCAAATCCCCTGGTCGACAACCACACGAGTTGGGAGAGGACCGTTTCCTCAACATACACAAGCTTGCCTTAAGGCGGCAAATCAGGTGGCCTTGTGATGATGGGGATTGGCGATGGAGGGGGCGGGTTCACGTGTGTGTCGCATTAATTCAGAGTACCGGCTGCCAGGGCTGATTAGGATGAATACCCAATGGGAGGCTTATTGTCTTAAACCCTTTGTGTGGTCTGGGTGGTTCCAAAAGGGTTACAAGGCAGCCGGCTCATACCGGCACAAGTCTCAAGGATGGTTGCAGAAGGATACACTGTATCCGCTCGACGACTGCATGCTCGGAGGGGAATGTGCTGTCAGTAGAGAAGCTGGTGGCATGGGTGGAGAAGAAACACATGGAAGCGAAGGCATGGGCGACAATGATGGCTGACACGTGTGTGTTAATTCGGTCACAATTGTAACCCTTTTGGAACAACCGTGTTTGTTATAGGGGATGGCGCATCTGGGCCACTCCTTTGAAACGTGGGTGCCGTCCACTTTGTGACCAGCAAGCACACATCAAGTGAACTGGACAGTCAGCAACCAGTCGTACTAGTCCCACCGATACTGCTGTGGCGGTGTCTGCCTCGCACCTTACACTGACGGGCAAGGTGTAACTCTCTTTCCAACAATGCAGAATGTGAAGCCATTTGAGTACTGAACCGAAACTCCATACGGGCATATGGACTGCCAGTGTGCCTTTACGCATATACGCCTGCATATGTATGTACATGCGTGCCATCTGTTGCACATGTGCATGGGATAACTTTCGTAGTCATTCGTTGTCAACCAGACAAGGGTGCATCCATCGGCCTCATTGCTGCGGTTGCTCAGCGGTTGGTGAAGTGTGTGTATGGCATGAAGTACATCAGCCCCTTTCGGTCCCCCTCCGGGGCGGCTGTGCAGAACTTGCCCTTCAGCTCACTTAGCGGCAGCCCTAGGTCCTGCCACATCTCCCACTGGCTGCCTGCCCTCGCTGTCTGGGCGGCCGCCATGTTGACCACCACCAGCCCCTCGCTGAACACCTGTCCCGAGTACACATCTGCGACAGTGAATCGGACATCCTGAGCGCCATCTTCTGCGGGCAGGTGGACGAAGTGCTTGAGGTAGGCCGCATACGTCCGAGTCTTGTTGCCGACTTCTGCCTGGTAGCATGCCCAGCAGGAGATCCGCTGCTGCTGGCGCCCATACTCAGCCCCGAAGTACTGCTCCTCGTCGAGTGCCTCGGCATGCAATAAGGAGCGGGCCTTGGGACAGTCAGGTGGTGTAGACATGAGAACCCTATCCAGGCGGTCCGTGTCCAGTTCGTAGCTCGCACTGGGACC